CTTGAGAGACCAACCGCTTCTGCTTCTTACATGTTTCCATCGACAGACATGATTTTTCGTGATCGCATCGTTCTTGTCTCTTTCTACACGCCTCCGTGAAAAGTCTTTGTTTGTTGATTTGTTGTTTTTCGCTTTCTTCTATGGCGGTCGACGGGAGCGAGGTGTTCCTGTCCCTAATTCGCGGCGCCGAAGATAAACTTCACGAGCGACAAGATATTCTAGCCAACTTGAATGATATCCGCTACTGGTATCAGTATGGAGAATTCCAGGATTCTGTCAATCTTGTTTTGAGCGCGAAAGAGTTGCTAAACTTGCTGATTAAAGGTCCGACTCTCGAGCTGCTACCCTCTGCACTGAAATGCTATGCGATAGCCTTCGAAGCCGTGCAGCACAAGAAGCATCTCGCAACGCCTCTACCACGCGAGCGTTCGGAAGACCATACCGCGGAATGTTTGGAGGTCCGCGGCTGCATCATCGATCTTTGCGACCAACTTCGGAATGTACCCCGATTCACCGAGTCTCTTAGGCTTCCGTTCGCCGAACTCACAGGCTGCGTTGTGAGGACGCTGTGTCACCAGGCTAAAAATTGGCTGTCCGAAGTTAAGGAAATACTGAAAGACTTTGCAAAAGCGTATGCAAATTCTGCAGGTACTTCAGATGAGCACAAACCTCTTTTGCTAGGGCTCCGCGGCTGCATGTATGCCTTGGATATAGACAAAGCGCTTGAAGCCAGTAGCCTGTCTTCACCACCACCACTACCATCACCATCACCACTACCATCACCTCCACCACTACCACCACTACTACAACCACCACGTGTTCCTAAAAGGCAAAACCAGCCTCCAGATCATGTGCGAGCCGAAAGGTACATGGGCGCCCGTAGCTGTTCTGCAAGTGAGAAGATGAAGAAGTACTAACACACCGCCAGTTCAGCCGAACCTCGTTCGAAACGCAGACGACGTGAACGATCTGTGCATACCAGCTCCAGCGAGGGTTCACTGGATGATCTGTATCCACGGCACTGCGACCATGACGGGCCGTGTTCGTCAACAAAGCTCGAATGCAGATGCAAGATCTGTCACGGGGAGTGTGGATGCAGCGCTAGTTGCGAGAAAAAACTTCCTTCGTGTGACTGTGAGGGTCCATGTGGAGAAGATTGTGAATGCGTACGGAACAATGCTGAATGCATCGACTCCCGATGCAGCTGCTCAGAGTGTCCTAACAACTTCCAAGAGCAGAAACCTGTGAAGCTCGTTAATCTGCCGTCTGGAGGTGTTGCTTCTTCCCAAAATCTCACAACTGGAAGATTTCTGGGAGTCCTTGCGAGGGACTGTCGCGTGGGCGGCCGACAAGATGTGCATAGTGGGGATCTGTACCAGATTGCAAAAGACGCCAGTGTGGACGTGTGCAGGAAAGATTCTGCACTGCGCCGCATCGAAAGGTCCCGCTCACAATCCGACCAGAACGTGGTGGTACTTGCATATCATTGCGAAGAAGGGCCTAGTTTTATTATCAAAACCACTAAAGACGTCCAAGCAAGAGAACAGCTTTTGATGCCTCTAGACTTCGAGAGAGGGGAGCATGCGCGAGAAGAGAATGACGGTGTCGCTCGCGATACGAGGAGTGTCGAAGACCACGGAACATATCCAGAAGAGTCCGGTATCGATGACGACCTTGGAAGCAGCGTGGATTCTGGTGGAGAGAGCGAGTATGAAACGTCCGATACATCTGATTCTGCCTCTATTGAAAGCATAGAGGAAGATGGATGCTTGTCGGAGAGCGATGGCGAGAAGGACAGTGTCTTCGTGGCTGACCATCAACACAAACAGACCAAGAGAAGAACGAGAAGTCGGGCCACGGCGAAGAAGTCTGCTGAACTATACGCACACTACGCTCTTGTCGAAAGGGAGTGTCTCACGCTGACAGGGCTCTTAAAGTTGAGCAAGCTCAAGAGGAAACAGCTAAGGCATTGGCTGAAGTTAGCCCCATGTTGCACGATTCGAGACGATACCAAGCCCGGTCATGCCATACACGACCAAAGCAAATGCACGATATCGACCGCCGACATAACGGAAACATTCAAAACACAGGTCGTCGAGTTCAAAGACGGGTCTACAAAATCCATTGTCTTATGGACCCCGGAACTCGAGCAAACATTGCTTCGACTGAGAGCCAGAGGTACGACGATGCCAGAACTAGAAACGCATCTGAATAGCAAGCATACGAACCTTCATTTCACCCAGGCCTCTTTGTGGCAAAAGTGGGCGAAATTGAAAAAACGCAAAACAAATAAAAGGAAGCCTTGCGACCCGCAGATGATTGCGATGATCGAAGCCGCCACACACCCACTCGATAGCCACGATCTTGTCAAAAAAGCGTGCGACAAAGTGAGAGACAAAAGCGAGGCGAACCTCAAATCGTGGATTGAAGGATATCGCGATGGGATACGATGCGAGATCGACTTCCAGTCCCTTGAGACATGCTTCGTCTCCAAAGACAACACAATCAACCATAAGGCGAGAGCTTGTAGCAAAGGAAGTCAGAATCTGCGTTGATGCTTAGCTTTAGTACTTTCTCTCTGCATGTACACCTAGTGGATGGTTAAGAAAATCTAAGATGACCTGCAAAGTGTGCATCTTCCTAGTGAAGCACTCCGTGTTCCAAGAGCACCGGACAAGCTTGTAGTGAGAGTAGAGTTACGGTATAGCGCTAATGTTGGCCTTCTTCGACCCCCAAATCCAGCGTGTTCAGTTCAGACGGACGCACTGGATGAACCCGACAATGTCGCTTCACGGCGTGACGGCTACGGCCAGAAGCACTAAGTATCCGCTTATGAGCGAGCTGCGTGCATCTTTCCCAGATTCCACGACCGAGTTAGGACTGGGCTAGCACGATTTCTAAGACCGCTCGACGTGATGGTCCAGGCTATGTGCATGTGAGACAGAGAATGGAGGAGCTAGACACGGTCATGCACGAACAATTTTCAGTCCGTTGAAGTCAGTATGCATGCATGCTAAGGTTGTGCGCCTCTCAAGAGCATAGGCGAGTGACTGCAGCCAGGCACTACTCACTGCATGACGCTTGCTAGATCCACGATCGAATAGCAGTGCAAATCTCAGTCCTGTACAATTCACCTGTCGACATCACTATGACTCTGTGCCGTGAATGTCAAGTCTCACATAATTCGCGAAGGCGTAGGCAAACGAGAAACATAGCAGCAATGAATCTGCAGTATGACCAATCACGTCCTAGTCATCCCTCGTAGATAACGACCAAGGACTAAGGGTGAGTCTCAGCCGTCACGCCAAGACCCAGATCGCGCAAACCAAGTCGCCCCGTCTTGCCAAAACACCCGCCCAACGAACAGGACATGGTCAGCACAGAGTGCAGACGCGACGAACATGACGCTGACGAGGGGATGCCGCAGATGTCACTCGCGCAATTCGCAGAAGACGTTCACGATGAGCTAGAACCACCCGAAACGCAAAAATCGCCCAAGAAGGGGAGAGCACAACACTTGGACAACCATAAGACAGCACAGTTCGTCTTGAAGAAGATCGGCCCGGAGAGACACTGCGACGACCAAGTCGTATCGAAAGTCGACATTCGAAATCTCCAAAGAGTCCGCAAAACGAGACTCGCCGAATCACACACCCGCCGTTGTTCGCAACGTCGATCGCAGCGCGCGGAGGAAAGCTACCGACGTGTACTTGGACGCGCACTACATGGCGATGAGAGTGACGAGCATGCCTGGGATAAGGAGGAAGATCTTGCCGAGCCTATCTCATAGGAAGACGCAGACGACACTGGACAAGGTGAAGAAGGAACGGTACAAAACGAGGTTCCCGTACCAGAGACATCCTCGAAGCATGGAAGGAATCGACAGAAGGGGTCAGTGAAAGTAGGACGATGGCGAAAGCGGCGCTCGCCTACACCCCAAGCTGGGCTGTCTCCGTGTGAGCAGCACTTTTGGCAAGATCGTCCCAGCGGCACCAAAACCTCCAGCAACACCCTCTCTGCGCAGAGCCTACTCAAACACGATGAAAGCCTCGAAGCGACACAAACATACCAAAATCGGCATCGATCCCAAAGAGAATCTTTACTTCGATTGCACCGTCGTAAATACAGTAAACGGATCTTCGAGCTAGAAGGAGGATACGACATCTGACTCTATGGGTACAGCTTCAAGCGCTACTTCATCGAGCGACTCACCGCACGCTTCTACCAACATCTCGTAACTTCTGCGCCGTACAAGGGGACGAAGAAGACACCGAAGATCGCGGTCATAAGTGGATACACAGCTGACACAACAAACAGATACTTGCTGTTGGCTACAGCATCGGCAGTGGCATTGGTAGGACAGAAGTTGCCTAGTCAATCTGCCCTCTTGCCCGATTTTATTATGTCACGAGCAGTCCGGCGTGGCATCCGGTGCCCGTCATCCTAAACTCCTTCGACTCACCCTGCCTTCGGAGGACGACAGTACCCTCTATGTTTGCGCGTCTCGCTACTCATCCATCGATCGATCTCCTGTACATGGCCGATACACCTCATTTCTCTCCCTTGTTCGATGTTGGCATGGAGACACAACACAGATTGCTCTGCTACGACGCAACAACCTTCTCGCTTGGTGACGCGGAGACGGACCCAGCTGAGACTGTCAACGAACTCTTGGGACGCAGCGACAGACGTGTCGGTGGAAGAGACAGTCTAGGCTCTTTCTTGCCATCACTACCAGAATAAGCCCGAGAACTGTTCCGCATCCTTGTGATGTAGCAGCTAGCGCTTTCACTCATGGAGGGTGGTGGTGGGAGGAAAGGAAGACATCACTGCGGCGTCAGGGCCTGGGAAAGTTGAGAATACCAGGAACGTTCTGACAGATTCTGCATAAGGCGATGAGTACCGTGTGGTATACCGTGTGGTGTATCACAAAGCTGTCGAAGCATTGGTTTGTCCAAGTGAAGTCAGTTCCAAGGATGCTGCTCAAGGCTTACACGATCGCTTTCGGTATATGGTAGTGGGCGATGAACGTTTAACGTTCGCTGTGTTCAGCTTCCTAGTCAATCTACAAATCAGTGCTTGATCCTCCACCCTCGTGCTACTATATCGATCTACCAACCGTGCTTGTATACCCTACCTGTCCGCCGCACTCGCTAACTCCCGAGAACCAACCCTGTGTCATCCAAGAATAATCTGCACAGATCCTCGTCCTAAGCGACTACGCCTTTGTATGCCAGAGATGTAGACGAGAGCGGTATGGTAAGCACCACCTTCTGCGACAAACAGCTTCTAAACACAGAGGATACAGATGTGAACGCTTGCGTCCAAGAAAGAGGCGAGCTGTCGTGGCCGCTAGATGTTGAGAAACAGGGTCCTACGACAGACGTAGAAACCGATATCTTGCCCCTGTACCAGAAGATGCTCTGCCGCCAACCGCAGTCGTGCGACGCGACTCAACATCACCGTTTGCCGAACGGGATGTTGCGGAATCGATCACACTGTGCCGTAACAAGCACCACGAGGTGGTCATACCAGCGCGCAAGCATTCGAGAATATCGTTTTGCTAAGCCTATCGTTCCCTTCTGCCACTGCAGCATCGATCATCGACTCCAGTGTCAGATGTTCTGGACAAAGCTCTGCTGATCTCCACGAAACACAAGACATACCGGACGCTGCGTAGTCCATTGCCCATCGGCGATCACCCGTGCTTTCCATTGTCGCTTTTGTTCATGCAGTACACGCTGTCGCCAGGTAATGGTACTTTTCCCACGCTCTATATCGAGACTTTCCAAACATGCTCGGGAACCGGGGAATACATGCGTATATATCCTGTACTCTTGAAGCGTAGGGTTCTGCTCCAACCTCTCCTGCAACAACCCAAGTAGCTCTTCGTTCGCGGTGTTCCTCAGCAATACTGAAATCGCCACGTCACGAACTCGGGGGAAGGCTTGCACTGCATGCGCGAGTGCATCGGCTACCTCTTGGCGATCGAAGTTTGTCGCATTTTGCTCAAAGAAAAGAACACGCGATCTCTCGCGAATCTCGATCGCGAGAGCGTGCGCCTCCATCCGGACACCTTTGCGCACGCTGTTGACATGATCCGATATGCTGCTCTTGTCCAGGTTTATCTGTATTGCGACCCGAGTCTCGCGGAGAAGCACAGAAGTGAACTCTGACGCGATCTGCTTGCAGAGGAGCAATGCTGACACAGGCGGCCAAGCAATACCTATTCCACAATTGTTGTAGGCACTGCTTT